TTGGAGTTGTAAAAAAGAGAAGGGGACGTATTTACATATGTGGTGGTCATGTGAAAAAAGAAAGAAAGAATGGGAATTAATATTTAAAGAAATATCTGAAATAATTGGATCAAATATTCCAATGTCTCCGTTAATAGCTTTACTGAATCTGATTAAGGAAGATCAATTGGTGAAAGAAAATAAGGATTTAATAGTAATGATGATTACTGCAGCAAGGATAATTATTGCAAGGAATTGGAGAAATGAAAATCAAGTTAACTTGGAGGAATGGTATAGAGAATTATGGGATATGGCAATTAACGATAAACTGACATGTGATATGAAAATAAGTAGAGGCCAAATGAAAAATAACGCTTTTAAGAAAATATGGAATGTATTTTTAGAACATGTATTTCAGAGAGGGAGGGGGTATACACCGAGAGAAGAAACAATGAAATTTTGGAGTGAAAATGGATGAAAAGAAGTGTAATGCTAGTCCTGAGGGTGATGGGTGCACAAGGGTAATGGTATGTTATTGTATTGTTTTGTTTTGTATTTTATACAGTCTTTTTTTTCTGTAGTAGTAGGTATTTTATATTTTTTTAATAAAAAATTTTCTAAAAAAAAGGAATTGTACCAGAAAGATTTGGATATCGTGGACAATCTAGATAATGTGGTTGCTGATCTTGAGCTAGACATCCTGGAGAGTGAAGTCAAGTGTGGTAGCAGACGCTTTATCCAGAAGACCCAATGATTAAATGTAAATGTTTAATTTTTTGTAATGTTTTATTTACCGGTAATCTAGAGGAAAATGTTTATGAACGCATGGTTTCCAGGACTGTATAATTTGGTAAGTTTAAATAGTAAATGTATTACTTAATAGAGGTCCATATGGCAAGTGTGTATAACTAGTCATAAGTATGGTCTGTGTAGGCATCCTTCAGTCTCAAGAGACTATGGTATCGTGCTCTGTATGGAGGTCATGGAACAGTGTCTTGTGTGGCTGAGAAGGCCAATTCGAGAGTGACCATCCCTTCCACACTGGAGACAAATCCAATCTGTCTCCTGCCCAAAATCAGCTTCCTGATTTTGTTCATTTCCGGACTGCCTCATTGCCTCGGCCTGCTGTACAAGGGTCTCTACAAATTGGGACAGGCCATGGTGCACCGCCTGCCTCTAGCCTGAACGCTCAGACGTCAAGGTTTCCCATCTGTTGAGGTCCATTCCTAAGGCCTTCAGATCCCGCTTGCAGATGTCCTTGTAACGCAGCTGTGGTCTCCCTCGGGGGCGGCTTCCCTTCACTAATTCTCCATACAGGAGATCTTTTGGAATCCGACCATCAGCCATTCTCACGACGTGCCCAAGCCAACGTAGACGGCGCTGTTTCAATATTGTATACATGCTGAAAATTCCAGCTCGTTCTAGGACTACTCTATTTGGAACTTTGTCCTGCCAGGTGATACCAAAAATGCGTCGGAGACAACGCATATGGAAGGTGTTCAGCTTCCTCTCCTGCCGTGCACAAAGGGTCCAGGACTCGCTGCAGTATAGGAGTGTGCTCAGGACACAGGCTCTATAGACCTGGATTTTGGTGTATGCCGTCAACTTCTTATTAAGCCATACTCTCTTTGTGAGTCTAGAGAACATGGTAGCTGCTTTCCCAATGCGTTTATATGCGTTTATATAGTCTTTGCGTATGGTCAGTATGGTCAGAATGTTAATAAATGTATTAAATGTCTTGTTGTTTGTTTAAGAGGGCAAACTAGTATGTTTTCCCCTCATAAAACAAACTTTTTAAGGGGGGAGGAATTGTAGCAATCACCCCTGGCATGAATATACTGTATGTTTGCATGTATGTTTGCATGGTACATGAATGCATGTACCAATGAGTGCTGTTGGGAGGCAGAGCCGGAGAAACCAGGAGGGAGGGGCGAGTCTGAGCCTAATCAGCTCAGTGAGAGACGGAGACGAGAAAAAAAGAGTTTGGGGGTTGGAGGGAGAGAGAGAGAGTTTGAAGAGTGATGGCTCAGAGTGTGACCTGTATTAATTAAGGCAGAAGAGGTTAAAGTAAAATACGGAAGCTCTGTGTAACTTTAAGAATGTGCTTAAGAACTATTCCTAAAACAACTTGTAATCAATAAACCTGTTTCTGTTTAAAAGTTAAGTACTGAATGGACCTCAGTCTTTCATAGGAATTATAGGTTGATAAAGAGATCAACGGGTGGCAGTGTGTTAAAGGGCCTGTTGGGATACTCGTGGGAGCTCTGTGTTGGCTGAAACAAGCAGGGCCCATGGGCTAAACGCGACACCTTCCTTTTAAGAGCCTGGAGATTACGCATCCCCATCCTGACGTCTTCTTTTTTTATTATTATTAATACAAAATAAACCTACTACTACAGGAAAAAAAACCTATATAAAATACAAAACAAAACAATACAATAAAATACAATTACTCATGTGCACCCATCACCTTCAGGACTGGCATTACACTTCTTTCCATCCATTTTCACTCCAAAATTTCATTGTTTCTTCTCTCGGTGTATACCCCCTCCCTCTCCGAAATACATGTTCTAAAAATACATTCTATATTTTCTTAAAATCGTTATTTTTCATTTGGCCTCTACTTATTTTCATATCACATGTCAGTTTATCATTAATTGCCATGTCCCATAATTCTCTATACCATTCCTCCAAGTTAAATTGGTTATTGTTTCTCCAGTTCCTTGCAATAATTATCCTTGCTGCTGTAATCATTATTACTATTAAATCCTTATTTTCTTTCACCAATTGATCTTCTTTAATCAGATTCAATAAGGCTATTAATGGAGACATTTCAATATCCAATCCAATTATTTCAGATATTTCTTTAAATATTAATTTCCATTCTTTCTTTTTTTCACATAACCACCACATATATAAATATGTCCCCTTCTCTTTTTTACAACCCCATCCTGACTTCTAACATGCAATGTCCTTTTTCTCCAGGAATCTGTCCCATCCCCTTTTAAAGGCCTCTAGGCCAGATCCCATCGCCACATCCTGTGGCAAGGAGTTCCACAGACTAACAACATGCTGAATAAAGGGTTTTTTTGGTCTGTTCTCCCTCTCCCAACACTCCACTGGAGTAGATGTCCCCTGGTTCTAGTGTTGTGTGAGAGGGAAAAGAGCTTCCCTCTATCCACTTGATCCACCCCCTGCATCATTTTATACGTCTCCATCATGTCCCCACTCAGGCGCCTTTTCTCTACACTCAAGAGCTCCAAATGTTTTAGCCTTTCCTCATCAGGGAGGTGCCCCAGCCCAGTCATCATTTGAGTCGCTCTCTTCTGCACTTTTTCCAGTTCCACAATGTCCTTTTTGAGGTGTGGCGACCAGCACTGTACGCAGTATTCCAGGTCCAGCCTTACCAGAGTTTTGTACAAGGGAATTATCATGTTAACTGTTTTATTTTCAGTCCCCTTTTTAATTATCCCTAGCATGGAATTGGCCTTCTTCACTGCTGCCACACACTGGGTTGACACTCAATAATCTAGTGTAGCTACCCAGCAAACAAGGTTGACGGTCACAATCAGGACAGGTTAAGAAGCATTATTAACTGTTGACTTTAGTAAAAGGGTGGTGGGTGAAAATGATAGGTTTTAAACAGGTGAGAATGTTACAGAAATAAGAAGGCATGAATTAATATGTATCCTGTAGCACCATCTATTGATACAGTACTGTATTAAGTTAAGTGAATTTTCCTACCAGGTACAGCCACTGGCTTTGAAGTCACTGAGTGGGGGTGCATTTCGCTGAAGTACTGTAGTGATATCCTGTACCAGTGATGTCCTGGCTTTGCCGATGAGGCAGGTTGTTTTGATTTTGACTAGACTATAAATACAGGATAAAATTGCGAGTATTCTGAGAGACACATGCCTTGTTTTCACTGAGAGGGAAGGAGAAATCTCTGCGGGGAGAGCTTAAGATAACAGAATGAATAATGTGTGATGTATTTTAGAAATGCTTATGCTATACTGTACTAATATAATAATCTATACTTTTTTAAAGCCTTCTTTAAGTTTTTTTAAATTTATTTTTAACAAGGGGTGACAGAAAGGAAAGGGGGAATTGAGGTTAAGGGGGAAAAGGAGAAACAATAACAAGCTAACATCCATTCTATACATATTGCCATATCAAAATTCCAAATTGCTCTTTTTATTATTTTCTGTCTTCCAGATTTAAGTTCTCATTTCACTGTATGCTCTTCATACCATGTCTATTTTTTAAAGCCTTCTTTAAGTTTTTTTAAATTTATTTTTAACAAGGGGTGACAGAAAGGAAAGGGGGAATTGAGGTTAAGGGGGAAAAGGAGAAACAATAACAAGCTAACATCCATTCTATACATATTGCCATATCAAAATTCCAAATTGCTCTTTTTATTATTTTCTGTCTTCCAGATTTAAGTTCTCATTTCACTGTATGCTCTTCATACCATGTCTATTTTTTAAAGCCTTCTTTAAGTTTTTAAGTTACATCATAGAAAATTATTCACAGTCATTCCTTGTGGATGAATACTGTTTAGGTATTCAGATAAGAATTTTATATGAGGACTGTAGATTTTGAAATATATTCTCATCCAGTTTTATATATTTCATACATATATGCATATGATTGCTCTTTATATATTACTTTTTTAGACATGCTTGCTTGCTAAATAAATTTTAGAGAAGAAGATTCTCCTGGTCATTTAATTCATTAAGGAAAAAGGAAAAAGAAGTAAAGGAATCAGGGGATATCCAGAAAAAAGGGACCGGATTAACATTAAAAAGCTTTAAAATCTTCTCAGACTGCAAAGCACATTCTCTTCCAAGAGATCTTGTTAGTTGTGTGTATAACACACGTCGGTGGGTCTCTCATAGGGGGAGCTCCCTCAAGGCTCTGCATGGCATGGAGCCCTCTCCCCTCCGCCCCGCCCCCCCCCCGGCATGACTGAGGTCCCTTCTCTGCCGGAACCACCGGCTTTGCCCAGAGGGATGCGCTACCTGGATTCCCAGAGACCTTTCCTCCCTGCTTTGCAGAAGTTGCTGCTTTTGCTCCCTTTCGAACGGGGCTCCTTGTTGGACCTTTCTTGGCACTCATGTTCCTAAAACGAAAGGCAGTTTAAAAAAAAAGTGGGCAAAGGAGGCTGGCAGTTTGGTGGCTATTCCCATAACAGATTAGCTTCAGTAATGGGGAACGCGATCCTATGTTGGAAGGAAAGGCTGATTCACTCCAAACAAGTAAGCTTTTCATTTTTGATATTAACAAAGCATCCAGGGAGGCACTGCTGGAACATCCACGTCTTTTTTTAAATTATTTTTCATACTCTAGTTTTCAAGTTATTTTTTTCATTATTCTCTCTGTCATACATACATCCCCGGGGAAAAACCAAGTCCGTCGGGTGGGCGCATGCACACAGTTCTCCCCAACTAAAGAATCCTCTTCTGCTCGGAGAGGGGGGGGCTCGGCCCCTCTCAGCCTGTAGGGCCAAAGCCCCCCCCCCACCATCACCCCCACCTCCACCCCCCGG